ACGCCCCCTCACGCAAAAGCCCTCTTGGCTTAAAGCGTGATTATGCAACAGGCCCAATCTTTGGTTTACCTTTTTTGTGTTTCCACTTTAAAGTGGGGGCAGTAAGGATCGAACCTCAAGCTCTGATACCATGTTAAAGAACCTTGGGATACACCAACTTAAAAGCTAGCTCAAGGGGTGAAAGTACCCAAGGTCTTATAAATTCCACATTAGTTGCTCTTCAACCAATGTGAGACTATATATCTCAACAACAATTGTGCAATGGGTTTGGCGAGCATGTCAAAAATGAATTGTGGTTGTGGGAAAGTTGGGGCAATGTTCGAGTTCATATAATTCCAAATCCTGCAACTGAAACGGAATGCTTCTGCAAATGTGAGTTAGGCTGGGCAATTCTTTGAGTTTCAACTCTTTTTAGTATTGGAAGCACAAACTGGATCCCCCCACCAATCATGAGTTTCATCAGGGGCACATTTTGTTACACAGAAAATGCATTTCAACTTGCTGCATCTCTGAACCATATTTGGGAAACAAGCAATTTGGGAAAGAGTGCTTGATGATGGGTTTTCAAAGGGTTGTTCATCAAAATCAGGGTCTGATGAAATGATTTCCTTCACTTCAACCGTGATGGCATGATAGGCTTCTAAGTAGAAAAGATAGACTTAACCTTTTGCATCCACTCACTTGTGGAAAGTAATTATGTCACTGATATGTTACAACTAAATAAACAAAAATGAAAATTTGATTTTATTTAGGAAGTCTGATCTCAAATGATTTTACTCAATAAATCTGAGCTCTTACACAAATATCTTTTGGGATAACTTTTTCTAATTCGATCATCTTTATTTCAATACTTCAAGGTTTAAATAGATAATACAACCATAAAAATAACTACTCATTAACATTAGATAGACTCCACTAATAACAATAACTTATTTTATCAAATTTAAATTCAAATAACAAAAGAAATAAAATAACTACTCGTGCCCACTACTAAACAACCCATCAATTTAAAAATAAAATAATAAAAATAACTATGATCTTTGTAAACCAAAGATTAATAATGTTTACAATTGACTTAATATGACATAGGGTTGATTGATTGCTTGAAGGTGTTCAGACATGTGGGTTGTATCTTGGATACCTACCAAAATAGCATACATACAAAAGCTAAAGCTAGGGTAGGAAAAAATATAGGAATAGAAACTAAAATTAGAATTTAATGTGGACATTCCTCAATTGATAACGGAAAAATCAAATACAAGAATACAAAAATTTTCACTTAATAAAAAAGATTACATCTTTATAAATAGGAAAAAGTGTTTATCCTTTTAAATGACATAATTTATATCTTTTCACTTTCACAAAGAGGTGAGACCCACACCTTTATTTTTTTTGTCAACTCTCTCTTCTCCTTTATCTATCTCTTTCTCTCTCTTAAAATGACACAACTTTACATCCTTTAAAATGACACACACTTTACCCTTATGAATATAACAAGAGAATAACAACATTCTCTCTTGAATTAAAGAGAATACATCTCTCCTCGAATGGGGAGAATAGTCTCATCCTTCCTCTTATAACGAAGTTTAATGCATCCGTTGTTTTAATGAGGGGCTAGTCTACACTACAAGGTCGTACCTCGAGAATAAAGTGATCGAAGAAAGTTGAATGAAGATATCTCTAGATTATAACAAAAAAGAAAAGAAAAAGAATACGTCTTAAGACACTCACAAGACACTACGAAATTTTCTCTCGAGTTTTGAGATGCTATGAAAACGAAGAATAATACATGTATTTATAGATTAACTTAGCCATTATTTGAATAGTACAGCCACCGTTCGAATTATATAGTCAGCAAAGGAATAGTACAACCATAAAAAAAAAAAAAAAACTTTACGTCATGCTTACAACAGTATAATGCTCGTGTACTTATGTTATGAAGTATCGACACTTCAAAAATTCTGACGTGTCGTGTTCGACATTCACTGACATTTCGACACTTCCCGACACTTCAATATTCGTTACAAAGACTCAAAAATGTTCAAAGATTACGTTGCATTGCATTTTGAATTTCAACTATTAGATTCGTTAGATTACGATTACTATTTTATTGAGTTTAATATAAATATTTAGAATATATTATGTTTCTTTGCAAAATTGATAGGTCTTATAAATTTAGCTTTATTTTTTTGTTAAATTATTGAATACTAAATATAATAAATTACATAAATTAAAAATATTATATAATATCAAAATATGTCCTGCCGTATCAATATTTAACATTTTTAAAATTAACTTGTCGAAGTACCATATCATGTCATATCTCATTTAGTGTTGGTGTACTAATTCTGGAGATTGTAAGTCTAATGCTATGATTTAGCTCGGAGCCCTACTGATAAGTTTCTAGTGTATCATTTTGCAGCTGGTCAACATCGTGATTTAATGTGTTTCTGCTGAGATATGCATGGTGGTTATGTAGTATACGGAAAAAATTCGAGTGAGATTATATAAAAGAGAAAAGTGTTTGTCTTTTTAAATGACATAACTTATGTCTTTTCACTTTCACAAAGAGATGAGATCCACACCTTTATATTTTTCTGTCCACTCTCTCTCTCTCTTTTTATCTATCTCTTTCTCTCACTTAAAATGACACAACTTTATATCTTTTAAAATGATACACACTTTTCTCTATATAAAATAATAGGGGTGTTCATCAACCGATCCAAACCGATTCAAACCGCGGTGAACGAACCGAAAAATCGAAAACCGAATAAACTGAAAACCGAAAACCGATTAAAAACCGCAAATTTTAATTGGATTGGATCGGTTTTTGGATGAGTTGGTGAAAACCGATCCAATCCAAACCGATCCAATATATTAATTTCTCTCTACCTATTTGGGTATTTCCTTAATCATAGCCTAAAAATTTCTAAACCCAAGACCCATTAACCCATCAACTAAACCCAAGAAAAAATCTAGTCATATCTCATCAACAAAATTTTATCTTTGTAGAGCTTCATATCTCATTGCTAAAATTAAAAAAATTATATTATAGTTTACTAATGCTTTTGTATTTCAAAAAATAAATAAATTACAAAGTCAATATATACAAAAGATGTTATTTGCACAATAATCATGAAAAAAAATTTAGGATTTTCAAAAATCCGAAAATCGATCTAATCCAAACCGAAAAAAATTGGATTCGATCGGATCGGATTTAAAAAAAAATAAAACCGAATGGATGATTATATGATCAAACCGAAAGGATTGGATCAGATGATTTTTGCTTCCAAAACTGATTCAATCCAGACCGCGAACACCCCTATAAAATAATTGGGGCATTGTAGTTAAAAACTCATTTTATAGCTGCATTTTTACATCTAAACGTTTTTATTAATATTCTATTTGTTTTTATGTTTTTATCATTTATTTTTCAACGATTTTACGTCTTTCGGTTTTTTATTCCCTTCTTGCTCTGAGGTAAAAATTCATATTTTAACTATTTTTTTTTTTTTTAGAGTTACCCGACCCTAATTATCTCTTTGAGACGAGTTGGCTCATTCCGGTATCCCCACGAACTTCGACTCTTTGAGCCGGCTATAAGACTAAGAGTCGAAGCTCGTGGAGATACCGGAGGGAGCCAACTCGTCTCAAAGAGATAATTAGGGTTAGGTAACTATCTTGGTTCGGGTACCTAATTACTTCAAATGAACCAACTTAAATAATGTAAAACATCGATTAAAAATAAAATATTATTAAATCAAATTTAAACGGTCACAAAAATATTAATTTTATAATGTATTGTACTTTATAAAAAGTGCTGGCTCTCTACCGGAAGAATAAGAATATGTTGGTCACAACTCATGAGGGTTGTAGAGAATATTCATTAGGTAAATAATAATACAAATACATGCTAAATGAGATGTAAATGATTATATTAAATAAGGGGAAAATGTTTGTATTTTTAAAAGATATAATTTTATTTGAAATTTTATCGGTTGATTTTAGTCAATCAATGATTATAATTTATTGTCTCAATAAATTATAATAATTGTCCCATAAATTATAATTATTGACTGATAAAAATTAATAATTAAGATATAAAATAACATAAAATTATATTCTTTAAAATGATAGATATTTTTTTCATTAAATAATACATTAAATCATTTGTTTTTATTTTATGACAAATTAGAACAGTCCAGTTCAACAGGAATGTAAATGAATTAATAAATAAAATAAAATAGAGATCAGACTCCAGATTCTTCCAATTCAATTTTATATACTCAAATTGGACAGGTCAATAAACAATTAGCAACGTGCAATGTACTCATTCTACCATGAACCAAAAATTGATGGGAAAATAAAAAAGAAAAAAAAAATTATTATTTTTATGTTACATAAAAAAAAATTATCTTCTACACACAGAAATTCAAGATAATTACTCTATTTTTTTTTCACTCTCTCCCCGGGGACCTTACATGGATAAATGAGTCTGTAGGAAATAATAATTATCTCCTACTACATAAAAAAACTATTATCCAAAAAATATTTATCTTTTTTGAGGACATATAATTATAGGCTTTAATGTTTCTAAAGTGAATGTAGATAAGTTATCTGCATTCGCTTTCAAAACGACGTCGTTTTAGGTTGAAACCTTAAAAAATTATAATGAAAAAGACTATTATAACCCTGAAATAAATTATAATTACAAAAATACCTTAATTTCCGCCTTAAAACGACGTCGTTTTGGACTCACTGTAGATAAGTTATTTACATTGATCGTAGAAAAAATGAACCCGTAATTATATCATTTTAAGTGAGAGAAAGATATAACTTAATAATTTTTATTTAAAATTTAAATTTAAAAAAATATCCATTTTCTTTTCTATAAAATTATTATTTATTTATTTTTCTTATTTAAAGTGACATAAAACGCTAAGTAATATAATAATAATAAAACACAATGATGAAGTAAAAGCTAAAAAGAAAAAGCAAGAGAAAGAGACAGATGGAAGAATAGAAGAAAGGTTTAGGTGTGTCATGTGTGAGCATTGACATCAGAGTTGAACTTGATCTATCTACTACCACTCTCCTTCTTCTTCAATTCATCAATCAATCAATCATTCAGAGTATTTGTTTGAAATTTTAATGGGTATACTCTACGCGCTAGTGGGTCGTGGATCGGTGGTGCTGGCGGAGTTCAGCGGCACCTCCACCAACGCCAGCGTCATCGCAAGACAGATATTGGACAAGATCCCTGGCAACAACGACACCCACGTTTCTTACTCTCAAGATCGTTACATCTTTCATGTTAAACGCACCGATGGCCTCACCGTTCTCTGTATGGCCGACGACACCGCCGGCAGTTAGTTCTCATTTCCTTCTTCTTCAATCCCTAATTTCATTTTTCTAAATTGCTTTTCCTAATCGACGTCGTTTTAGGGAGAATTCCTTTTGCGTTCCTTGAAGAAATTCATCAGAGGTTTGTGAGGACTTATGGACGCGCTGTTCTCTCTGCTCAGCCTTATGGAATGAACGATGAGTTCTCTAGGGTTTTGAGCCAGCAAATGGAGTATTACTCCACTGACCCTAATGCCGATAAGATTAACCGAATCAAAGGTGAAATGAATCAGGTACGAACCCTAATTCTAATTTTCATAACAATTTGTGTGTGTGTGTGTTTTTTTTTAAACTTTATCTCTTGCGTTGCGCTACTCTTATGTTTGGTTTCTTGAATAGGTACGAAACGTGATGATAGAAAATATAGACAAAGTTTTAGATAGAGGGGATCGATTGGAATTGCTCGTGGATAAAACTGCTAATATGCAAGGAAACACCTTTCGCTTCAGGAAGCAAGCTCGCCGTTTCAGAAGCACCGTCTGGTGGAGAAATGTCAAGCTTACGTATGTTCTCTTTCTCTCTCTATAACCCCCAATCTTATTATTATTATTATTAGTCGCTGCTTTTTGCCTGTTGTGCTTGTATAAGTTCGATTGTTCCTTTTTTAAGCATCCATTAACTACTAATATATGTTCAACTTGAACTTATAATGAGAAAACTGAAGTCTCTTTAATGAATCTGAAACCTTTTTTTCATTCATGTATGGAAATACATGCCATTTTCCTTCGAATTTTCAAGACTAAAGATATAATGATTTGATACATACTTAGATTATTCTGATGGAATCACCTGGGCTTAAGCTCAGGTGGTTGGGTGTGTTGAGATTGGAGTAGAGGTTCTAGGTTGAAGTGTTGGTAAAAACTGATCACTATTAGTGCGGATTTGAATTAGCTTATTTAAATATAAAAATAAATTTTATTAGAGAAAGAAAGAAATAGAATTACAAAAGATTTGAGGATTATAAATCCTCGACAAAGACAATACTAAAAGGAGAAAAAACAGGGACAAAAAGGAAACTCCTAAAAACTTGTCAGTGTAGGAGAGCTGTGCAGTCTCCTTGCATATCTTGAATACCGATATGCTTATATAAACCATGTACTGAATGCCAAACCATGAAAATGATTCTATCCCATAACAAATCCAGAGGTAAGGAAACATCCTTGAAAACGCGGGCATTCCTTTCCAACCACATAATCCCACGAACAACATATGGCCACAATATTTTTTTTCCTTTACCAAACAATGTGGAAACTGATCCAATGAACTAGGACACACCCACTGATTTGCTTACCAAAAATACCAAAAGGTTTATTCAAAAGCTATCACACAGCTGAACAATGGAGAAATAAATGAGGTAACGTTTCAATCTTAGATCTTCACATGAGACATTTAAGGAGAGAGAGGCATGTGCGGGCATCTAACTTTGAAAAAGTCATGAGTATGAATTCTACTGAGTGAAGCTGTCCAAACAAAAGCTTTTGACCTTAGAAGGAGCTTTAGAATTCCAAATTGGTTTATCCTTGGAAAATATCTCCCTTGTAGGAGAGCGTATGAGAAACTGAAAGTAAGATTTGCATGAAAAAACACCAGTAGAATCAAAGTTCTAGATTCTCATATTAACTAAAATTATATTAACATGAGATAAATCTCTACTTTGAACTGACTTATATACTGTTGAGAGTGCAATATCCTTTTTATTTGTAATATAATAAATTTAAAGTGAGTGTGTTTGCCTGGCGACAGTTCAATTAAACAATTTTGATTTTTCATTTGATAGTGATTGTCTCTACTAGTTTTAGAATAATTTAGAGTAGTGGATAACGAACTTGTTGCCTTCATAGAACCTTATAGTACAATTCATCAATCTTCAGCTATAGTTACGATGCTCAATTTTTTGGGTCTTAAACCGCTGACAAAATGCTTGTGTGTTGCAGGATTGCGCTTATAGTCACCCTACTTGTGATAGTTTATGTTGTGTTGGCTTTTGTTTGCCATGGGCCTGCACTACCATCTTGCCTTAAGTGAAGGATTAGCAAGTGAATTTTATGTGTGCTTCCTTGTCGTCTTCAGCTTGCAGAGGTCACTTTCTTTTTATCTTCCATTGTTATGCAGATTCCATCTTCAATTGCTGGGCTGTCTGCATGTGTGCTAGTGAATTCCCTTGCAATCGATTCGAAGTGTTTGGGGTTGTATTTTTATTATGAGGCTTGAAGAAGGAGAAAAAAGATAAAAAAAGGAAAAGAGGGGGGCATGTCTGTTATTGCACTCTCATTCCACCCCAAAAATTTGGATTGAACAGGAAATTGGCTGAGATTTTAATTTATGTAAATTATAGCATTGCAGCTTCATGGTGTCATAGATGTTTCCTTCTCTTCTTGTTTAAGAGGAGGAAGGGTGAACTTTTAGATTCCATGTGTCCCTTCATAGCGCAATGAAGGGTGTTTTGAATGGTCGTCATCTTGAATTGCTGGATCAAATCAAATAGTGCTTCAGTAGCTCAGAGTAGTAGTTTTAGAAACTATTCCACCACTCCCATGTTGTGCTAACACTAACATATTTCGGTTTTTGAACACTCCCTCATTCGACAACATAACAAGATAAAATTGTAGAGTGCAAGAAGTAATGCATCATTTCGGTTTCTGAACGCTTTTTGGTTGACAAAGCCGTTAGAACTGTCGGTTACTCTGATGAAATTCAAAAGTGTAACAACACATGCATGCTCCATTAAACACATGATAAATTCGCGCTAGATTTGAATTTTAAATGCGTTCTTATATTTAACTTGGTATCTTTGGAACTTGGAATGTCCCTCCCCTCTTTCTTCAATAATTATTGTTTGCACCAACTCCCTGCATTCTATTATACGAGATTATTTATTGTGGTCTGGGATCATTATTTTTTAGGTGGTCTCTTAGTGTAAATGGAGGAGTAAAATTGGAAAAGAGAAAAAATAGTAAGGGTAAAAAGGGAAAGAAAAAATTAATGATGTGAGAGGGAGTACTAGATTATTGGATGGTCCTGGACTATAATAAATATTTACCTATTATACAAAAGCTCCTGTAGCTGTGCCAGAGTTCGTGCGACAGATATTGGGAAGACTGATGTAAGCATTGGACAATTCCTAATCATGATGATCGAATCATATCTAAAACTTTGATATAAAGGGGGATTATGAGTATATGTTCTGCCACTGCAATGTCTTTGGTTGTTTCACTTATATAGTTAACTTGGTATTTGAATTTTCAATGCGTTCTTATATTTAACATGGTATCTTTGGAACTTGGAATGTTCCTCCCCTGTCTTCAATAATTACATTGTCTTTGGTTGTTTCACTTATATAGTGTATGTGTATCTTAATGAAAGCAAGCTTAGGGACCTAAGTTATAATATGCATTCCCAAGCTTTTAAGTGGATAATTGCTAACGTTATTGTTGTTTGTGGGATATTATGTACCAATTTTTAACTTATCTTTTGTAATCAATTAAGATCATTGCGCGAGAGTTGGTTCTGAATAACTAAGAGAGAGAGAAAAAATCCCACATCCAACCCAACTTCCTTTCTCCTCTTTGTAGAATACCTAGAGGTATTTAACTCACCACGTGTAGAGTTCTTCTACTTATATCATAATGGACCTGAAAAGGGATGACAATACAGGGCGATCCGACACGATGATACGAATACAAGTATATTTAATATAACCATGATTTGAATTTGAAATCGGATTGAAATTTTTTATACAAACACGACCCACATATTTTAAATGTTGACACAACAATGAATAGGTTGACATGGTATGACACAACACGAATAACCTGTCAATCTCAAATTGTGTTAATTATTATACAGGTTGACACGATACGATAAGACACGAATAATTTATTTGCGACATGACACGACACAAATAACTTGTAGGAAGATTAATCCGGGTCAATTTCGGGTTATTAGGTTGACACGAACACGACCCGAATATGAATTTGTTATAATTTTATTTATGTTATTTTATTATTTTCTGAATTATTGGATTGTTTAAGTAGTGGGTGGTTATTTTAATGGTTGGCTCATATTATCTATTTAAACATTAAAATATTGGAAAAAATATTCAGATCAAATTAGAAAAGTTATTCCAAAAGGCATTTATGCAAGAGGTCAAGCTTCCTCAGTAAAGCCATTTGAGGTCAGGCTTCCTCAATAAAGTCAAATTCTCATTTTTATTTATTTTGTTCGTAACAGAATTTTTTGTGTTGTGTCAGCACATCCCGTTGAAAATTGTAAACCTTACTCAAAAGGCCAGTCACTCATAAAAGTTATGCTATTTTGGGAATTTAGAATGGGAAAAAATGTGTCATTTTAAATGACACAGAGATAAGACTCACATCTTTATTTTTATTTTTTATTTTTTATTTTTTATTTTTTATTTTTTATTTTTTATTTTTTATTTTTTATTTTTAATAGAATCCACACCTCTTTGTGTCTATGAAATGATACAACTTGTATCTATTTTTTCTTTAGAATAACCCTGAAAATGCTTATAGCCATGGCCGTCCAAGACTCCTGAGGATACAAAGTTTTTCTATACAAAACATGAGCTCTCTAAACATGAAAGTAGACGTATTGAATATCCTAAAAGCATTTAAAAATTAATAATTTTTAATGTAATAATTAATAGAATATTTAAGAATAATAATATTATTCATTTAGGAATTATATCTGTCTATGCCTGTTTTACACTTAAAGCATGTGTTCTGTTATGCCTATTTCCTTCTTTAATAACGTTTTTGTGCTTTACTACGCGGTTTCATACATTCTTATGCATGACGTGATCAAGGTGGAACAAGTAATTTCAAACACAACATGCCATGTAGAACAAAGTCATTATAAAAAATCCAAAATAAAACGACAAATCTGGGCATAGAAAAAGTGTCAGTGAGATCAACCTTCTGCAGCGCAATGTACTTGACAACGTGCACAATGCATGAGATCAAAGATGTGGGTTGGGAATGACAACCTCCCTCAAGGGCAAACTGTACTTGTGCATCGTCAATGCACAAAGCGTCATTTGGAGAATTTAGGTTCACTATTACTCTTGTAGCTGTCCCTGTAGAATTTTCCCTCAAGTTCCGGCACTTGACATTATCAACAATATTTCTATAAAAAATAAAAAAATAAAAAAATCAATTGTCCATAATTTTTTTGTACTAAAAACAGAAATTTTCAATAAATATTTTCACAAATTTTTAAAAAGGAATAATTATATATTCTCCTAATCAATTTTTCTAAAAATTCCTTAATCACTAAATAAAGTATTGAAAGTTTAAATGTTCCTAAGTTATTAAATATATCTATTTTTCATCTAATAATTTTTATGAATATTATTAGGAAGATATTTTTATAAGTATAAAGTATACTCTTGTGCTCCTTCTTATTTCAACCTTTTTATTTTAACACTTTCTGAACCTTCTTGGCCTTTCCCTATTTATGTCATGGTTTTGCCACTATCTGTTCCTACCCTTTTTGACCCATAATGTGAATATGCTCATCCCATTTGTTTCTTTTTGCCCATATATTATTTTTTAACCTGTGCTACTTCTCTTTTTAACCTTGGTCAGTTATGTGGCTCTCCTTAATTTATGTCATGGCTCTTCCATGGTCTGGTCCTTCCTGCTTTGACCCATATCTCATAAACCTATAATGCATAATGGGTTTAGAAATTAGAAGCAATGACAAGTTGCACTAAAAAATGGACCACAACTTATGGGCCCTACCCTCTGCTTTATGTTAAGTTCGCAGTCGCAAGGATTACGGAATGATATGTCAATTACTATTTACTAGGGCTGTTTGAATAAGTTTTTTTTTTTCAAAAGTTAATTTTTTAAGAAAAAAAAAACAATTTTCTGAATAAATTTGTTTGGATATCTACTTTTAAAAAAAGTAAAAGTCATAAAAAAATCAAAAATTTACTTTTTTAAAGCTAAAGATTTTAGCTTCTAAAAAAAAAAGAGCCTAAAATCAACTTTTTTTTTTTTCAAAAATCAAATATTTTAAAAAATATATAAATAAATTTAATTTTTTGTAAAAAGTACTTCTAAAATAAGTAAGATATAAAAAACACTTTTTTTTTTAAAGTCCATGCGAATAGACTCCCGTAAAATGAAATATCCAATCTTATTTTCATAACGAGGAATGATCCATTGCAAAATTTCAAGCCCCGTTGCCATGTCTGTTGAGTTACACAACACTATTACATAAAATGCTTCCATATATTAGAGACAAACCTTTATGTTTCTTGATTTGAGTCATATGTTTCTCAATATTACGGAATATGGGTACGTTTGAATTCTGTTTCCAAAAATAATTTTTTTATATTTAAAAAAAAAAGTAAAAAAACACGTTTGATAAAGTCTATTTTGTAAAAAAAATAAATTAAAATTTGTAACTTTTTTTTTGTTTGTTAAACCACTAAGTGCCTGTTTGGATCTTCTTATTTTTAAGCTATAAGCTACTTATAAGCATAAGCTAGGCCAAACAGGTTTTGGGAAAGCTCTTATAACGAAAAGCTCTTTTTTTTATAATGAAGATAAAAACTGAAAACTAAAAGCTCCTCCTAGGAGCTTTTTTTTTAAGCTTTTTTCTTGAATTGTGTGCTTTTTTTTTAAATGAAGAGTGATAAAGATAGAGAGAAAAATAATTTTCTTGAAATATGTGCTTTTATGTAATTTTTAAGCTAAAACATTTATGTAATTTCCAAACAGCTTTTAGCTTATTTTTTTAAGCTCTTTTTTTTAGCTTTAGCTTATAAGTAGCTTCTAGCTTAAAAATAAGAGGATCCAAACAGGCTCTAAGCCTAGTTGTGAGGGGGTAAATAGTGGATAATAGGTATTGTGTTCAATTCCCAATTTTTTTTTTTAAATTAAATTTAGAAAATATATTTAAATTATTTTTGTTTAGTATTTTAATTTTTTTTTAAAATAAAAACCTTATTTCATTAACTATTCTATAAAACAGTTTTAACTTTTAAGAAGAAAAAAATAGAACAGAATCAAAGTATTTCTTGTTTCCATAATTAGTGACCGTAAATCTTAGATAAATAAAATTGGATTGCTCAGGAACCTCTTTTAAGTCGTTCACAAATCCCTCCTTGTTAATGCAATCAAACCAACAAATCAACGGATCAAAATCGTATTAGCAATATGACACGGTAATTGTATGAGGTTGTTTAAGTTCTGAATGTGGGGTTGTCAATTTAGGTCACCTTGAGGGATAGTTTTCAGGGAAAAAGGCATTGGAGATTGAGAAGGTTTATGAGTTCCAATTTCCAATAATTCCGCATAGGGAAAGCTCAATTTGGATTTCATTAGAAGACTCATGTATTTGTACACTTCTAAGCTGCACAAGAGACTGGAAGTGTAAACTCAAGCTTGTCACAAGGATGCTCCTTGCCCTTCATAACTTTTATTATTTGCTTTAACTTCACGTATTTTGTTAGAGTCTCACATTGATTGTGTAGGCAAGTAGGCAACTAGTGTAAGATTTATGAGGTTTTGGGCACCTTCATTTTTTGAGCTAATTTTTCAGTTGATGATTTCATGTGTCCCTATAATTTAATGCTCT